CACACAGGACTTGATTTGCTTTCTGTAGCCATTTCTAGTAATGTTGACCTACAACTCCTGAGATCATAGTTTATGTACTGGAAAAATATCTAAAGAAATAACAGTGTTTGAGTGAGGGGGGAACCTTAACCCTTTAAACACATGTATAAATTAAGCTGAAACAGAATGTAAAATGTTTTACATAAAATAGTTCCAAAAGGTATTTCTGTGCCCTTTAAGTTGCTGTTTCTGAAGTTTCAAAGGAAAGATTTTGTTTCCTAAACACCCAGGGAGCTAACAAGCTAGCGCTTTGACTCAACTCCCTACTCTCTATGGGAAATTCCACCAGGGGTAAAGGAAACATGGAACTGAACCCAGACTGGCAAGTTCCTTCTTCACAACTCTACTTGATTGTGGAACCATTGGTTGGTTTGTGTTGGAAAGAATACCATTCCTAGGCCTCTAGTCCTTGTCTTACTGTCTTTACTGCCTCTTCTTTGTCTTAGCTTTCCATGGCTATAACTAAACACAGGAGGCAGATTGACTTTATAAAGAAAAGAAATTTGGGGTAGCATATTCAAGCCAGGCCTCTGCCATTCACTTGCCTTGTGATTTCAGTTGTACAATTTCCTTAATCCCACTAAGTCAGGGTACCTTAGAAACAACAGCACTAGAGAGCAGGAGTCCAAAATCAAGGGGCAGGCAGGCCGGGTGTCTGGTGAGGCCCTGGTTTCCCAGGTCTCAGGTGGCTCTTTCTAGCTCCCTTGGAGGTCTTTTCTAAGGGTATCAAACCAACTCATGAGAGATCTGTCTCCCAGATCTGGCTAATTCCTATTGCTTCCTGATATAGTCATGGTGGCATATAGGACACAAGCATGAATTTTGGGAGAAAAGAAGCATTCAAAACACACTGCTCAGTCTCTTCCTCAGCAAAAGGTACGGAAAAACACCTTCCCTTGAGTGGTGATATGGGAAAACACCTTCACTCTGGAGAGGTGTGTGGGAAACAGCCTTCTGGTATTGTGCTCACCTTGTCCTCAGAAAGCCCTACCTGCCTCCAGGTCTCTAGCTAGTGCTGAGAGCATGTGCAGCAGAGAGTAAAGCAAGCAAATATAATGATGTATTATTTTTGAAATTTTAAAGTAGATTGCCTCTCAGAAGGATTTTGTAGTTTCCTTCTAAATTTCAAAATGCTAATTAAATTTACTATTTTAGCAAAAACTACAAAAGATCATAAACTTCAGCTACCCTAAACTTTGAGTAATAGAAGGGTGGATGCTATAAAAGTATCTTATATACACGTGAAGTTATCATTATGAACCCCACTATTTTGTGCAATTTGTAGTCATTTAAGAAGCGAAAAACTTCTTAGGACAAAACTGTCAATATCTTGGAAGTGTAATATTGACAATGAGCTTAACACAAAATGTGTTAAGAGAAGATGATTTAAAACTAGATAAAATGATATGACCAAGATTTGTCATGATCTTAGTAGTCCCAAATCACTAAATAAAGAAAAAAATAAAACAAAAGATTTATTTGGAGTTTAAAATAATTTTTATTTTTCTAAAGTGGAAGCCCTTCATGAAGACCAAATGACTCTCACCTGGTATAGAGGAACTAGTAAAGCTGAGCATTTGCTCAGACGAAAAAGAAGAAGAATGGTCTTCATGCTGGAGATTAGCTCGGTTGTCCAGGAAACCCTGTTTGCAAGTGTAATGGGCTGATTCCTTGTGCATGGATCTCCCTTTGGGGTTTCCTCTCTTCCTTAACCCTAATCAGTGCAGTGATCTTTCTGGGTCCCCAGGAGTCCTAAGCTATAGCAGTAGTATCTGAGAGATTTCTGGCAGTGCTTGAGGATAAAAATTATTCTATTTTAGGTGGTGGTGGGACATGCCTGTTGAATCAAAGATAAGTAACAGATCAAATAGAGATATTAAATACACTTGACATATAAAATTCAATAAAAGGAATAAAAGAATATGTAGGGAGTGTTTGCAAATCAATAAAAGGAAGTAATATAAGTAACAAATTCAGCAACAACAAGACGGCCAGTAAGTTCATTAGTATTCAAAAATACAAAATGGAAAAATTCAGGTTGGGACAGTTGGAGCTGATATTACACATTGCTGATCCAGGTAAAGAAAAATGCATTTATTTTTTGGCTTGAGTGTAAAGTGATTCAGTCATTTTAAAGTGCAATACCACCTTAAAAGAATACCATCACCATTTTGCAAAGCAGTCACTGTGACATAATGTCTCACTATTCAGTTAAAAAGGGTGGAAAGAAGGAAAGAGGAAGGGAGTGAGGGAGGGGGAACGGGAGGAAGGGAGGCAAAATAAGGAAAATTTTAAAATGGAAGTGAAGGGAGGTTTTAGTATTTTTTATGGTTGTATCTTTCAAACTCCTTTGGAAGTGACTCTCAATGAGAAACATTTCATCCAACTGAATGGACCCTTGCTACATGCAGCGTGCTCTGAAACTCTCTTATTTTGTTCCAATTCATTGCATTTCATTTTTCGAAGTGCTGGTCATAACCTGTTAAACTGATGTCAGGGCTCAAACATAGTTTGAAAAATGCTGTTTGGAGTTATGTGTGAGTATGTGTGATGGATGGAGAAGGGCAGGAAGGTAATACACCCAAACTAATATTAGCAGTTACTGAGTGAGTGGATGTGGTGTGTGTGCGTCCCTCAGTTCTGTGCTTCATCTGTAATACTTACTTTTTATTTTCTTAATTTATAAGAGAATTTTGCAATTAGAAATTAGAAATTTTATTTTTAGAGAATAACCAATTTAAGCTATTTTCAAAAGTCAAGAGTTTACTGGACTTGAGAGGGTAGAGGTTAGAGGACTTAAAGCCCAGTTTTTAAGTTAAAATGCAGAGTTGTGAGTTGAAACAGCAGGCATTCTAGCTAACTCTCTGTTTTTGTATTTAGGGACAGAGATGAACACATGCTTGTGGTAAGGCCAAGCTTGTGTGACGCCCCACTCAAAATGTCCTCTCAGACCTAAACATGCTCAGCAGTCTGTAAGATTTTATAAATACTATGTCTACAAATAAAAACAGAGTACTCCATATCAAAATAATAACAAACCAAGTCCTCTGTTTCAGGAAATGTAAAATTAAATTTTCTATACCAACTAGGTATGGAGATTGGGCAGATAGTTACCTTTTGAGAGTTTCTTCTGCAAGAAGCACTGCTGGAGACAGCAAGGCTTGTGCGCACATGGCTGTCTCTACATGCAGAGCAGAGCCCGTCACTGTGCTGTTTTTAGCTATGGTTACATTAATTCTGCTGGTTTACTTTCACATTTTTTACCCTGAGGGTAATTTATTAAATCACATCTTAATGATCAAATAATTGGACTTAAAAGGACTTAGGCACTTTGAAGGGGAGACAGACCATTTACATCTAAACAAGAAATTAACCTCAGATGACATGGAACTATGTTATTCTCCAGCCAAGCCAGTAGAGGTAAAAGAGGATTGTATTTTATTCTCCTTTGTATCTTAAATTGAGTTTTCATATGCTTTTGCTAAAACAATTTGACTCTTTTAAACAACCACATCGAATTTCTTCCTTAAATGTTTTAGAAACAAAGGGCTTATAGTAAAATACACAACCTTTCTTCTAAAGCACACATATAAGAATCATCCATAAAATCTTAGCTATTAGCCAGGCATGATAGCACACACCTTTAATCCTAGAACTCAGGAGGCAGAGGCAGGCCGATCTCTGTGAGTTTGAGGCCAGCCTGGTCTACATAGGGAGTTCCAGGCCAGATGGGGCTACAGGGAGACCCTGTCTCAAAAGACCCCCCCCCCAAGATTAGTTATTGATGAATCCATCATTATATATGAATTTGATTTCTTAAATGCTCAATATTGTATGGAAGGAAGAACATTAGATCTTGGAAACTTTTTCTTTTTTTTTTGTATAATAGGAGAAAATTTGTAAGATGAGTATTGCAGGAAACATGGCAGAAGGAGAAAGGGACGGCAGAAAGGGGAGAGGCAGCCACACTTCTGGTCCCTCCCATGTTCTCCTGGGGAATCTGTGATGAGACTAGGCAGAGGTTACTAACAGGGAGAGCAAGGCCATTCTTTTAAGTAACTTTATAACCTGCAAGAAAGACAACTCTGGCCAGGAATATGATGTTGGGAAGCAGCTCGTGGGCAGCATGACAGCTGTTAGTCTGAATCTGTGACGGTGATCTGGCCTTACAATGAGAATTCAGCACAAGACGAAAACCTGCCCACTTAGACCTGGAGAGAAGTCCTGGTAGAAACTGTGATTTGCCATAATGAAGTATTTGAAAAGTATTTAATTCTAGCTAAGAAATTTTTGTTCCTTTACTCTTAAAAATTGTTTGGTCTTTGTATCTAGTACCTTTTGGTTTTTTTTTTTTTTTTTTTTAATTTTGCTTTTGTTTTTGTTCTTGTTTTTTGTTTGTTTGTTTGTTTGTTTGTTTGTTTGGTTGGTTGGTGTGTTGACTTTTTAAAGACAGTTTCCCTGTGGCCCAGCTAGCCTGTAGTTAACTCACTATGTAGACCCGGCTGGCCTCAGACTACAGAAATCCATCAGCGTCTCCTTCCCGAGTGCTGGGATTAAAGACATGCGCCACCATAACCTGCTGTATCTAGTACCTTTGACAAAATTAGATATAAAATACGTTGTAGAGAGCATGATGGATTTAATATTTAAAAGTAGCCAGGCTTTTCGCTGTGCAGTATCCAAGGCACCACTGCCTCCTAGCAGCAACCTCCTACAATTACAGACAAGACAAGTGTTAGGAAAGGAATTTTTTTATGTGACTTAGATTCCTGAGAAGCGAAGTGAAGGAACGGCTTATTCCTTGTCATATAATATTGAAGAGTCATGAGGTCTCTGAATATCATCTCATGGGTAGGATAAGATCTTGGCTGTCTTTTTTTTTTTTCAGAATTTTATTCCATTTTCCACTAATACCACCTTTGAAAGGGGACTTGACTAACTGCAGGACTTATCACCCACAGCATCTGCGGGAATTGCTGTGTCCCAAAGGAAAGTGCGTCAGATCAGTGACCCCATTCAGCAGATACTAATTCAGCTGCACAAAGTCATCTACATCACTCAGGTCAGTGCTCAACTTCTTGTGTCCTTCTCCTCGTAAACAGAAGCCCAGAGCCAACTCTGCTGAAGAGGTGGTTACCTTGTGAGGCTTCTAGTTACAGGGAAAGCTTGTTATTACCTGTTCCAGCTACACATGTGGAGACACTTTGGCCTAGCTTGGAAGGCAATGGGGGTAAATAGCCAAATGCTTCAGACTTTCTCTATAACGTAACCTGTTCTCTCCTTGTTAGTGTGCAGCCTAAAACAGACTAGCACACAAATGGCCCTTTACTGTGGAGCTGAGAATAGGGACAGAGCTGGGCTGCTTTTCTACAAGCAAATTTACCATAGGGATGAGAGAAAAGCAGTATCCCTCCCCTTCAATCTGCATGACAACAGAACCCATCATAGATGTGAAAGCCAGACCCCCACAAAACCAGGATTGGCAAGACATTCTGTTTGTAAATCCAAGTAAGACTTAGGCACTGAGAAACTCAGCACTGAAAAGTGGCTGTTATTTACTGATAAATTTCTGTGTAGTGCTAAACAACTTGGCTATTCATTCACCTACGGTTTATATTATGTACCAGTAAAGAAATGTAGACATTTTGGTAAGAAAATAAATAAATATTTTGATGCTTAAGATAGTACATCTAATGCATTTGTTCATTCTGTCACATGACATAGTGACATAATTAGCAAGTGCTCATTGTAAGCCAGATACAATTCTAGTCACTTGAGATGCATCTGTGAGAAAAACACGCAAATGTCCTTTGATTATCAGCGTGATAGGAATTAGAATCACTATGAAAACAAATCTCTGATTATGCCTGGAGGGATTTATCTAGATGAAGTTGATTGAGATAGAAAGATCTACCCTAAAGGTATGTGGTACCCTTCCCTGGGCGTGGGGTCTAGGACTAAATAAAAAGGAGAAAGTGAACTTGCTGTGCGAAAGAGACTAGATCTTCTTTAAGCTCTCTAGATAGGCTGACTCGACTTCAGCAGATGAACTTGCACCAAAGGCATCTGGGTACAAATGCTTGACCAGTTGGGACTTAATATATATGAAAGAATGCATGAAATCTGGTGTGTGCAGGGGGCTATGGGAGGGCACAGATCAGGAGGGCCTCTAAATTTGATTGAGTTCTATTATATTAAATACACAAAAACTCAATTAAAAAATATATTCAAAAAGAAAGGAGAAGGTAGAGAAAGTGAGCTGAGCACAGGCAGTCCTCCTCTGCTTCCTGACTGTGTATAATGTGAGCAGCTGCCTCCTTCTCCGTCACCAGGCCCTTCTACACTGGTAGACTTCATGCACTAAAACTGTAAGCCAGAATAAACCCTTTGTGCCATAAGTTACTTTTTTCATGTGCTTTGTCCCAACAACAAGACAAGTAACTAATGCAGGTCCCCTCACCATAAGATCCACAGAGCTTAAGGGAGTCATTGAAGTCCAGTCACATTCAGGGGCTCCATAGCAGCATTTCATTTAGGGCTCAGATTTCACCAATCATGACAATCCCCATCCTGAGAGACAAAACCAGAACTGTTGATTACTATAAGATAGTGACCATTTAAGTCTAGAAATCACTGTTGATTTATAATCAGTGTCTACCATCCCTAGGAAGCCTGTGTGTTCTTTTTCCCCATAGTTGGTCACTTTGATAAATAGCTGTATTAATCTATGGGTATAGCAACAAGTCATCAGGACTCACTTTAACACTATATCTACTTAACAAAATAATAGTATTAGGCTCTCCCCTATGTCTTGTGTCTTGTTTGGTCATATATTCCTAGGCCTGATACCAATGTTGGGTATAGACCTTAAATCCAGTTAAAAAGTGATTGTTCATTCCCATAATATTTATGCCACTCTTGCACCAGAGGGCGTATCTCACAAGGCCATTGTTGAAGCATGCAGGATTCACAGCTGAGTAAGGTTGATGAGGAATTTTTTCTTCCACTAGCATTCATAGCACCTCTGACACTATGAAAGCGAACCAGTAGAGATGAGGTTCTGAGGTCAGCACCAGTTTGATTTATTCTTCCTTTTTCTCCAGCTTATATGTGTAGTGTCTTCAGCAATAGGGTCTTGCTGTCAAGTTGTAATGGATAACCAAGAGCAAGGACAATGGGCATTATTATTTGAGGGTCTATGGAACCCTGAGTCAATAGCTTCAAAAGACAGAGTTCATCCCTGGCTTTGAACTTTTACTTTGATAGTCTATGATGTCTTTAGTAGGGGCAATGTCCCCCTGTTATAAGGTCACTCACTTTAATTTCCTTTTATAATGTTTATGTATATACTTTAAGAAGCTTCTATAGTGAGGGGTTTCCTTTTTTAATATTTTGTTTACTATTTTTATTTTATGTGTATGAATATATTGCTTGCATGTGTGCAAATGCACTTGTGTCATGCAATGCCCAGGGAGGTCAGAAGAGGGCAATGGATCCCCTGGAACTGGAGTTACAGAGGGTATGTGGGTTCTGGGAACTGACAGTGTTCTTAACTGCTGAGCCATCTCTCCAGCCCTCCATATGGCTTTTTCAAAAGGTCTTTAGTGTTATTATCCCTCCCTATACTCCCTCCCCTGCCCTCCCATTTCCCACGACACTTAACCCTTACTCTATTATTACCCTTCCCTTTTCCCCTTTATATAGCTATGTTCTATCACCCCTCCCATGAAGCTCACCCTCTCCCTGGCCATTTATTTGTTTCCTGGCCTCTCTGGATTTTTCTTTTTTCTTTTCTTTTTAAATTTATTTTATTTTATGTGTATGATGGTATTGCCTGCATGCATGTAAGTGCACCTGTGCTATGTGATGCCCATAAAGGTCAGAAGAGGTCATCGGACCCCCAGAAACTAGAGTTAGAGGTGGTTGTTAGCCACCATATGGGTGCTGGGAATCAAACCCATGTCCTCTGGAAGAGCAGCAAGTGCTCTTAACCACCGAGCCATCTCTCCAGCCCTGAATTTTTTTTTTTATTATTAAAACATGTGTATCTAAGAATTCAAATCTAGTATCCAGCCATGAGAGATGTGATGTTTGCTATGTGATGTTTGTCCTTCTTGGACTTGGTTGCCTCACTCAGAGTGTTTCCAGCCCCATCCATTTACCTGCAAATTTCATAATTTCATTTTTTGACAGCTGAATAATATTCTGTTGTGTATATGTATTACACTTCATTTTCCATTCATTGATGGGCATCTAGGTTGTTTCCATTTCCTGGCTATTGTGAAAAGGGCAGCAATGAACACAGACGAACAGGTATCTCTATGGTAGGGTATAGTTTGGTATATCCCCAGAAGTAATATGGGTGGGTCATATGGAAGGTGTATTTCTAGCTTTGGAGGACTCCCCACACTGATCCCCACTGTGCACCCTCACCAGCAGGATAACAGTGTCCCTTTTTCCACACCCTCACCAGCATTGGTCCTTGTTGTTTTGGATCTTAGCATTTCTGAGGGGTGAGGTGAAATCTCAAAGTGGCTTTAATTTGCATTTCCCATTTCAATAGAGAACTCCATGTTCAGCTCTTTGCTCCATTTTTTAATTGTTTTTTTTTTTGTTTTTTGATGTTTAGTTTTTTTTAGTTCTTTATGTATTCTCCATATTAACCCTCCATCAGAAGGACAGCTGGAAAAGATTTTTTCCCATTCTGTAGGTGCCTCTTCACTTGAATGATGGTGTCCTTTGCTGTACAGAAGCTTTTTAGTTCCACAATATCCTATTTGTCAGTGTTTGCACTATAGGAATCCTGTTCAGAAAACCATTTCCTGTGTCTGTAAGTTCTATGGTGTTCCCTACTGTCTTCTCTGTCACATTCAGGGTATTAGGTCTTAGTCTTGAAGTCCTTGATCCATTTGGAGTTGAGTTTTATAAATATATTTATTAGTTTTTTATGTGTATGAGTATTTTGCCTACATGAATGTAAGTGCACCATGTGTGAGCAGTGCCCACAGAGGCCAGAAGAGAGTGTTTGATCCCTTGGAACTAGAGTTACAGATGGTTATGAGCCACCGAGTGAGTGCTGGGAACTGAACCTGGGTCCTCTGCAGTAGCAGCAAGTACTCTTAGCCACTGAGCCATCTTTCTAGCCCCAGGTTTTTCAGATGCCTTTCAGAATACTTTAAACATTATGGCATTGCAGGTAGCCAGGAAAGAGCACCCTCTGAGCACTTTAACTTACAGTGCTCAAGTCAGAGCACTTTCACAGAAAGGAGAGACATAGAGCCTGGAGGTTCTGCTGGTGTGTTTGCTACACTAAAGAGCTCTGTGAACTGCCAAGGAGGCTTGTTCAAAGTAAGATTGACCCAAGAAACAGACCATTAACCCCTTCCTGCCTTCCTCCTGAAGATGGGAGGGTAAACCAACAGGATACTTTGCTTCTGGCTGGTAGTGGTCTTCTCTATACTGCTTCCATGGAGACAGATCTACAAAACTCATCTAAAGGCAACGATTTTACAAGTCAAGATGTTAAAATTCCTTAGCTCTCTCTGATTTCATATCTGTTTTCATCCAACTGGAATGACAACCTTAAGATCCAGCTAAAGGAATGAGTGGTTCATCTCCATTGCTAGAAACCAGCCTGTCTTCAAGTAGATGTGGTGATTAAATCACATACATTACCTTTTGGTTATTTTTTAAGTAAGACCATACAGCATAATTAGCATTGGGTTTGTTAAGTAAATGCTTCGAAATAAGCATATAGGAACTTGTAAAATTAAATTTGGGGCACTGGAGAGATGGATCAGTGGTTAAGAACATTTGCTGCTTTTCCAGAGGACCTGGGTTTGATTCCCAGCACCCACATGGCAGTTAACAACCATCTGAAACTCCAGTCCCAGGAGATCTGACACCCTCTACTGCCCTCTGTGGGTCATTACATGCAAGGGGTGCACTAACATACATGCAGGCAAAACACTCAAACACATAAAATAAAAATAATAAATAATTTTTTAAAGAATAATTAAATTTGGGGGACCTGGGCATTGTGTTTCTGCAGGGTGCTGTCAGAAGCAGGTGCCGTCCTCCTGGCTCTCAGTGAACTGCACTGTGTTGTGCAGCAGCCACAGAGGCAGAGAATGGTCTGTCCTCCTCTGGATTCCCCAGGTGCTCATGGCTAGTCAGCTACGAAACAAGTAACATAGTTAGGTTATGACTTTGTTTCCCAAATCAACTCTTGTTCTCAGGGGCTCTAAATTCTAAAGGAAATGTTAAAAATCTTTTTGCATTTGTTTATTGATAGTCTTACAACATTTTTTTTTTAATTCTCAGAGAAGTTTCTTAAATGTACTGAAATGTCAAAATAGTTCTCCAAAAGTCAAATAAGTTACCAATTTGGGCCACTATTTATCAGACGAAGCCCTTTGAACTACTGATGACTTGCTGACGTGTTCTTGGACAGAGAATCCAGGTTCTTTGAAAGAATCTATATATTATGCAAGTTTGAGAAAACATGCAAAATCATGTTTTTCTTTTGTTACTTTGTGTGCTACTCAGTTTTACCACAGAAACCTTTCTATGTGTGACTTGGAGGGAGACATTATCTTTTCTAGAATCACTTTCTTCATGAGGAAATGGGGGATGTTCTAGGACTGCTATAGGACTCAATAGAAGCAAAGTATGTGAGAGTAATTATAAACTGTGAAGTGCTGCATGGCCATGGTGTGCTGGCAGTGCTGGCCTTGGATAAGGCTGATGCAGAAGGTACGGTGTGTGGCACATGTTTGGGGTCTCTCATGTCCTCACCTAGAAATAGAACTGGCTTTGTCAGTTTTCTATAGGAGAAATGTAAGAATATGAGCATAAAGCAGTGGCCATAGTGCCCAGGACCTATGAACTGTGGTGCTGATTTTCCCAGCGCTATAGTTCTTGTATAGGCTGTGTTATTAAGCCTACTTCATCTATGATTGAGCTATGTGTGGCAACATCTTTCTGTGTAGCTTGTAATTCTCACAGGAAAGCTTCAGAGATGGGGTCCTGATGCCTAGTGGTTTATTCCAGTGGGACACAGTAGCTTTCTAGCACTGTCTATGTGGAGATCCTCAATTGGCTGAACGTGAGCTTATTCAAATGAGTTGTTACTGAACCAGGAGCAGAAGGTGAAATTCCAAGTTAAATAGAAGCTTATCAAGTGAAATATACAGCAAGACTTTTCAGAGTGTTAGATAAAAAGGTGGAAGGGGTCAGGATCGCTGGGAAACAGAGAGGACTCTGGCAAAGCGAGAGTCTACTTTGGGGTTAGCAGGGGCTGGGTATCAACTCGGCAGTGAGTGAAAACCAGCAGCCTAATGGCTGCAGGGGGCTAGCTTATAAAGGAAAAGAATGTGGAAAAAGAGAATATTTTTCTACTGTTTTGGACTGTTTGTTTTGGGCTGTTTGGGAGTTGTTCAGCATGCTCTGGTGATCACAATACATTGAGTCACCAATTCCTAGAGCAACTTTTGTCAGCTTGCAGGTGGCTGGGAGTTGGCTGACTTAGTTCCTCTTAGGAGCCTTATGGTTTCTGGGTCTGGGGTCGCCTGGACCTGAACCGTATCACAGAGTATTTGGATTAGTCCGATACTCATAGTTACTAGTCCTAAGCTGGGACCTATTTAAAGAAGCTATGAGCCCATTGTGTTCCACACCTTCCAAAGGTCTTTGTAGCAGCCAGTGCAAGAAATATTTCCCTTGGACTGGCTTTTTGCAGTCTTTCAGGGAGACCACTAGTCTGACTTGGGTCACCTCTGCTGTCTGCTGTTTTGTTTAGAGAGGCAGCACCCTCTGGTGTGAAGCAGTGGGGAATACTCCCCAGGCTCTTCATGTCCTCGCTACTCCAGCCTGCCCATGAGAGGAGACTAATGCTGAGCATTCTCTTTCCTTCACAGGACATGATTTCCCCTTGCATTTCATGGGGAAGGCCAATGATAGTTATGACTGTCATGGGCTTTGAATCACTTTGTCCTTGGAGTAGTACACATCATTTTTATTGACCAAAAATAGTCACCAACCCAAACTGAAGAAAGCGAGACAATGGAGCAGGGCGGGCGTGGTCATCTCTGCTGCGCTCCTCTTCCTTTCCATCGGAATTTTGAGTTATAGCTTGTGATAGGGTTCAGATCCAGGTGACCCCAGACCCAGAAACCATAAGGCCCCTAAGAAGAATTGAGTCAACCAACTCCCAGCCCACCTGCAAGCTAACAAAAGCAGCTCCAGGAATTTAATGACCCAATGTATTATGATCAACAGAGCACGCTCCACAGGCCGACAGACAGGTTTCCCAAGCCCTTAGCTGCAATTCGTTCCTGGAACCCTGAAATTGTAGAAAACATGTTTTACGGTAGATGGTTTTCCTCAATAAGTTTCACCAGGTACAGACCCGACGCCCTCCCTGAGCAAGCAGCCCCCAAACAGTCCCAAACAGCAGAAAAATATTCTCTTTTTCCACATTCTTTCCCTTTATAAGCTGCCCCTCTGCAGCCTTTAGGCTGGTTCTTCCTCACACCCCAGTTGAGGACCAGCCCCACCAAACCCATTAAACTCTTTGCCAGAGTCCTCTTTGTTTCTGTTTCACAGATTCTGAGCCACCTTTTCTCTAACAGCTTGGTTTTATCAATTGTGAGAGCTCACTGCCTTTTAACATCTCTCCATAATAATAAAAAGAGCGTCTTGTCAAGCCTGAGACTCCTGGTAATTCTGATCGCTTTGTTGTTTGTTGTTGTTGTGTTATCCTCTCCCAGACTTCACCTCGCTCCTCTGTGCTGTCAGAACTTTGATTTCCTGTATAAATCCAGCCTGCAAGGCATTGCAAATCAAGGTTTTTATTTTTAATCCCCTTATTTTCTAAGATTCTGCAGTGATTGTCTACCTATTTATGACATCTACCTCATCCTGGCTAGGCCCTGGTATGTGTTAATCCACCCTGTCTTTCTGGTTACATTGGTCCCTAAGTTTCAGTTTCTCTCCTGCTGAATTACCAGGTGCTCTCAATGGCATGCATCTGACTCTGAACTGGTATGGCTGATCTTTTGTTTGTTTCCTCATCCAAAGTATCAGATCCTGCAAAGGGCTGTGAGTGGGGTGTTTGGCATGCTGGCCAAAGGCACCTGAACATGAATGTACCTTCATGATCAAGGCTGTTCTTCACAAAAACATGTGTGTATGTTGTTATATGAAGATAATACCAGTGAGTACCACCATGCTAAGATAAATGGAAGCAAGCCATTGAGAGAGCAGAGCCAGGTATTTCATTCCTCCTGGATATCAGATAAAAGCTGTAGCAATCAATTTGCTGATTTGGAGTACAGTTCAGGTTCTTATCCAGTCTTGTTGAGTGCATAGTGCTGTGTTGGCCCTTGGCCAATGCTTCCTATACTTGGAGATGCAGGGCAGGGATTTCAGTGGCAATGATTGTCTTCTTACTTTACACAGCTTCCTCCCAGCTTGCACCATGATCTGAAAAGAAGGGTTATAGAGAGATTCAAGAAGTCCCTCTTCAGCCAGCAGAGCAACCCTTGTAACCTGAAGTCTGAAATAAAAAAGGTATGTATTATACGACACCTGCCTGGGGCCGAAGTCCGACTTCTTCACCTTCTTCCCTGAGCTCTGCACTCTGTTAAAGGATGTCATCAGGGTTGAAATGCCTACTTTGCCTGTCTTGCCTCTGCTTTCTCATTCTGTGGCATTGTTTTCAGATGACTTCATTCTTTCAGTATTATTGCATGTTTCCCTAAGAATAAGGATTGTCTCTAATTTTAAAAATATGTCTATTTTAGCCTGCCTTAGAAGAGTCTGTCCCAATCCTTTATGAGAAGTCTCCTCAATGAGCCCCAGGATTCCATGGTGCCTCTTGAAAGCAGTCACCTGACATGGAGGCTGTGATTTTAGTCATCTGTGGGAGCAGACGGAGCCACGGCTGAGGCTCTTTCCATCGTCAGTGTTCTGTAGTCTGCTCACCTTTGGGCATACTCAATGTATCTATTCATATACATAATAACTAAATCATTATACCAAACACAAAGACAGCTGTTTACCTCTGGTAACACCACGTGGGGACAGGAAATCCACTTTGTCCTGGAAGTCACTGAGGTGGTTTGAATGAAAAATGTCTCCTTTAGGCTCAAGTATTGAACACTTTTTCCCCTGTTGGTGACACTGTTCAGAAGGTCATGGAAGGTAACCTCGTAGCCTTGCTGGAGGAAGCGTGCCACTCTGGGCAGGCTTTGAGAATTCATAGACTTGCCCTATTTCTAGTTGGCTCTCTAAGCTTCATGTTTGTGGTCCAAGATATGTGCTCTCAACTTCCTGCTCCTGCTGCTCTGCCGCCACCTGCTGCCTCCCTACCCTGATGCAGTCTTATCCCTCTGGGACCGTAGACCTAAATACACTCTTCCTTTTTACGTCACTTTTGATCATGTTTTATCACAGCAACAGAAAAAGCTAATGCAATGACCTAAGTCTTCTTTTCTTTCCCGAAGGCCCCAAACACTGGCAGGACAGGCTACCTGGATGGAGATGCCTGGCCCCCTCCAATTTTATATGTTTGTAAAGCTTCCTCATATTCATAAACCTTGGTATCATGATGCCAATGAACATTCATTGAGTTTTCTTTTTCAATTAGTAAATTTGCTTTTGAGCATAAACTTATCACCCGGGAAATAAGTCAGGCTCTTTAATAAAGAAACGAAAGAGATGATTCTGTTTGTTGGCCACAGTTCTGTCTGCACCACTGATGTATGCACCCAGCAAGGAGTTGGGAAGAGGCAGCTGCAGGTAGACAAAGCACAAACCCATCCATCAAAGACTGGAGAGCAAGATTCTCTTCACATACTGTGTTGGCAAATGGTAAAGGCACAGAGCTGGACGAGATCAAGCAGAGCTACAGGAGACCTCAAAGATTTATTTTCCAATATTTACCTACAGTATCCTGAATACCAAGAAATACATGTTTAAAGTCAGAAGCTGGAGTCTCCCCCAGAAAAGATTACATAATGCTTGGTTTTATATTTGTATGAAAGTGGTATTCATAATAATCCACTTTGCATACAAATTTATTCCTAGCAGAAGTCCTGGTTTTATGAGAGGCATGTGCCTCAAAGGGGTGCATAGAGGCAGACTCACCCCTGTGCCCAGTGGTTTTCCACTGTGCTTGTCCTAAAACCAAGTCCCTTTCTTCTTTTTCATGCAGTGTCTCTCTGTGTTTCTTTCCTTTTTCTAAAATCACCTCTTCTGTCATCCCTCAGTTCTCTTCCCTGTGTCCTGAGAACATCTCTAACCAGCACACGGATGGACCTCTGGTCTGAGAAGACCAGGGATTGATGGGGCAGTAGAGGAGCTTGAGGAGCTCATACGAGGGTATTGCTGCAGTTAGGAATTATTGGAGCCTGGGCCCTGGCAGCCCTAACAATCCAGGTTTGGCCACCCATCCTTGATAAGCCAATTAAAAGAGCTAAATTAATAATGAAAGGCAGATAAAGGAAATTTATTCAACGTGGCCACACAGGAAGAAGGACGAGAGATCCAGCTTCCCTCCCTACCCCAAGTCCATCTTCAGGATCCCTAACATTAGAGTAAGGCCTAAACAGAAGGTAAGAGCTAAGCAGTCTGGGTCAGGGTGTGGTTTTCCTATCACTGTCTGGACTCTAGTTCTGCAAGGTGATCTGACAAGTTTTCAGAACTGTGTGAAATCTCTTTCTAGGAGAAAAATTCCCCCTCTGGCTGGCAAGAGGTGTCAGCCTTTTACTTATCCCAACATGGGATACCTAAGGGAAGTTTCAATTCCCTGGAGAGTGTTTTTTCACAGTCTGATAGCAGAACCCTCATTCTTGCCTTACTGGTTACAAGGGGATCCAGGGAGATAGACTTACCCTTCAGCTGGGTTAGGAGGCAGGTCACACTGCAAAGCATGCCATGGGTTCTTTTCTGACAGGCCCCTCTGCTTGGGAAAGATGACATTCGGAAGCCAGGGCTCAGCTTGTGGTCAGTAGAGGTGAAATCCCATTCTTCCCTGGTAGCCCCAAGTGGGACAGTGAATTAAGTCCTGTGCTTCACTGAACGGAAGACTCAGCTCCTCCACAGAGGCCTTCCTTGGGTTTCCTTGTCCACAGCCAGCCACCCCTCTCTCCATGCCTGGTCACTTTTTCACTCATGTTGTTTTAATTGGCTTTTCATCTGCTGTGTTTTTCCCGGAGGCAGCAAGTTTCTTTCATTTATCACTGACTTCCCAGTGTTTTGCAGTTTCTGGCATGTGGTCAGTGCTTTGTATGTGATATGTTATATATTTATATATTCTGTGTGAACTAGTCTGCATTTCTTCAATTCTTTATTGAAAGGTAAATTGATATAATATTGTGGTGGTTTGAATGAGAATGACCCTCATAGGCTCCAACTCTTTAGACACTTGATCCCCAGTTTGTGGTGCTGTCTGGGAGGGTCCTGGAACCTTTAGGAGGTGCGGCCATGCTGGAGGAAGCATGTCACTGGGGGCGGGACTTGAGAGCTCTTAAGCCTTGCCAGATTTCCAGTTGCTCTCTGCTTCCTGTGCCTGCTTGAAGATGTGATCACTTGGCTTCTTGCTCCAACCACCTCTGCTGTGATGCCTTCCCCACCATTGTGGACTCTGGAATCGTAAGTTCAAATGAAGTCTTCCTTCTATAAGTTGCCTTGGTCATGGCGTTTTATCACAGCAACAGAAAAGTAACTGATACAAATATATTCTTCTATCCCCACTAACCCTGAGACGTTTGTGACCTCTATTTTTCCTCCTTTTCTGGTGTTACTCTTTTTCTTGCAGTAGTCTTTGTTCAGAAATGGACTTTTCATACTCTGAGTAGTCACAGAAGAGTGGCCACCTCCAAGGCTGTGACAGTAGTGATGGTGCTAGGACATAAAATACTCTTTCCCTTCACCTTTCCCTTCTTCCTGAGACCCAGGAACCCTGTGTCTACAGTGTAGAGTCATTATGGGATGACTATGACAAAGTATTAAAGGCACAAGAGCCAGTGGGATATTTATAGGAGTCAAAAGGTGGAAAAGCCGTTTTCCAAGATCTAAGGTGGCCTTTGGTCCTGTCTTCTCAGTCTTGGCTAGACTAATTCAGGGGCAAAAAGCCAACTGAGGGATTACATAAATGTCTTTGGAAACAAATTTTCAGCATGGGAAAAAGGAGAAACAGCAAGAAAAGAGAGATAAGTTCAAATTAGTATTCAAAAATACCACTATTGTCAACGCAAAAGCAAAACTCTCACCTCAAAGGGGATAAGAGATAGTTTATTCTGGAGCCAAATATGAGGGACCATGGCCCCAGAACACAGATTCAGGTTACCCCAGATTCCATGTTCCAGCGTGGTAACAGCTGTCTTATGTTTTTATAGTAACAAAACAAAGAAAAGTCATAAATCAAGACACTTTTCAAATACCTCGGAGGATACATTCAGTGGGTGGGTCGCAGCAAAGCGAGGGGTTTTTTACTATAGGTCTCCTAGGTCTCAGATGCTAGGATAATACATTCTAAAAGGTTTTTTATCTGTTAGTCACAGGATGTTAGATGAGAAACAGAGGTGGGTAAGGAACGGCTGTTTAGGGGACTAAGGATGGCTCAAGATAAATGGTAATTAGACTCTGGACCTGCAACATTCCAAACTCAGTCTCCAGAGTGATAATCAGTTGGTCAGCCTTGCAGGAAGTTCAGTCCAAGGTGCAGGAGTTCTTTTGGGGAACTTTTCTTTCACACTATCAATGCATATAAATTCATGACAATTTTTTTTCTTTTGAAAATATAAAATATAATCAAGCAGCATTCAGCTCCTCTAACCATGGTTCTGAGGAGACACAGCTGATGAGCCAGAGCAGGATGCACCCAAGCTTAGACTGGACTGTCTTGACGATGCTTAGATGCATCGCGGGGACATGGCCAAGGTTCCTGAGGGTCTCACCAGGATCTGGGAGCCAAGCAGAAGCTGTCACTGGAGCATCACTAAAAACACAGCTGCAGTGCATTGACAGCATTAAATACTGTTTAAGATTTCATGACATTAAAGAAAATATTTTGCACTGATCACCTCTGGAGAATACAGAGTATCCCATTCATTGTTTTAAAACTTGTTTCTAAAAGGAAGCAATAATTTTTTTCTTTCTTTCCATTTTAAATTGTATCTCATGGTAACCAATTTACCGAGGAGGGATCGTTTCTTATTAGAGAAAATCTTCAGCTAGACCATGCTGACTCAGCAAAGAGCACTTCAGGTTTGCAGTCCCAGTGCTAGAATGGCTGTGATAGGAACACCAGGGTAGCTAACCCCGCAGAGAGGGCCACCTGACAGTGCAGCCACCGGAGGCAGGATAGAGCTCTCTCTACCAATTCTTATACCTGCATTTGGCCAAACTTGTAAATGTGAAGTCAGCAAACTATGTCTCTCAAGCCTGTCCAGCCTGCTGTCTGTTAGTAATAAAGTTTTATTTACACAGCCACACGCATTCATTTACATTTGGTCTGTGGCTACTTTGCCTTACAGACAAAGCTGAGCAGCACATGTGGAAACCCT